GCAAATATGTTATTGTAGGCACTCAATCTACTGTTTCTACATCAACCAAAATGGTCTCTTTAATATAAAATAAGATCAGCTAAAGCTCACGGCCTCTCTTTTCCTACACTTTCCAGACATGCTATCCTACAAGGGAGATTCTCACCTCAATGCCTTCACACTCGCTCTTTCCCCATGAATGCGGACGATACTGACTATTATATTTAAAATTACCTTCACCCTCCACACCAGCACTCTTGAGCCTCCATACTTTGTTTTTTTCCCATCTTCTTACACCTTTTAAATTTAGTTGTTCACGGTCTATGTCTGTCTCTACACACCAGGATGTAAGTAAGCTCCAGGAGGGCAAGAACTTTTTTTGGTTTTGTTTTTCATTCGTTTTTTTATTTCTGTGATGTATCTCTGGGATCTACAGCAGCAATCTAATTGGCACAGAGTAAGGACTAAATAAATATCTGTTAAACAAATAAGTTATATATATATAAGCAAGGAGGAAGAGTATTCTGGAATATAATCTCCTTTTAAAGTCCTAAACACAGTGACAGTGATAGAAGTCATTGTTGTACATATTATGGGGAAATCAGTCTCTGCTCAACAAACGACCAAATAAACCTTAAATCTGTGGAAAAGGCTTTTGAATGAATTCAATATTATCTCAGGGAAAGACTACTAAACATAGCATATAAAGGTAAAATACTTATGAAAATCAGGAACAAAATGCTCAATGAGTCAGGAATTGTACCAGAGTCATTCATAGAGATTCTTATTTTCTGTACAATAAAATTGGTGTCAACAACAACAACAAAAAGCCACAGTTTCTTGCCACTGCAAAAATAAAAATTAATTCTGTATTCATCTTAAAACAACTATAAAAATAATAAAGTTTAGAGAAATTCGAAGTTACACAGCTCTAGAGTATCCACGAGCCCATTGCTGTGTCTGTGGATTGTCTGAGTCTCTTGTTTCCCCCTCTCATGTCGGCTGCCTCATATCTGACCATTGTCCCATTTGTTGGCAACTCTCACAAGAGAGCAAACTAGAGTAACAAAATTAGACATAAACAAATTAAAGTTATTCCTGATAGCAGCCATGAGACTATGCTGAGATCTTGGTCTAGACAGTGGGGGGGGAAAAAAAATGTGTACTATTTAAAAGTGTTTGCTCGAAAGAGTACAGGAAATATTTTCTGGAAATCAGTTGCTAACATTGGTTGGCCCAATTTAATTGAGGTGAGCATTACATTTGTCTTAAATAGAGTTAACCAATAGAATAAAAAGAATTCACAATATATTTAAATGTGCAAAAGAAGGAAAAAAGGGAGGGTAAGAGGGTAAAGAGAAGCAAGCCTCTGCTATAGAAATTATCTACTGGAAGAAATGTAACATACTGGAAGTGCATCTACCATAAGCAAGAACTAGGGCCAAATCCGACTCTACCTAGCAGTAGAAACTAGGTCAAAACACATAGCTCATAACCTACTTTCTTATTTGTTTAAGAAAAATAGAAATAAACTTTTCTCATAAAGTTTTTGTAATAAATGATGTCTGTCCTCCAGTTCCAGATTCCAGCTTCCACCACGTGTGATCAGCCTCTCTGGCCAAGGGTTGGCAGTCATCTCATTTCAGCCTCATCTTTTCTTGCAATTTTATGAAGATAAAACCTTGAAGAAATATCTGGAGAGTAATTAACATATGGCTAAAACTATCATGGGAAATATAAAAAGACTGATTAGAAAGTACAACTGGGGCTTGTTTTAAACCGAAGTCAGCTTATTGGTAAAAAATGCGTTTTCTTCAATTGCAAAAATATATATATATATGTTATTAAAGCTTTAATTTAAAACTATAGCAAGACATCTTTAGGAGAGAAAAGAAGATTTTCTTCCCTCTGTAAAGACTAAAGTGCAAAAAAAAAAAAAAAAAAA